TCCTGCTCCCGGTCGTCCAACGCCTCGAGCTCCAGCGCCGCCTGCAAGCCCTCGTCGAGCACCTGCTGCTCCGGCAGCTCCTCCCAATCGTCCATCTCGGTGTCCTTCGGGCCGTTCTCCAGGATACTCGAAGCACGATTCCTCATCGCGCTCAGGTTGAAGCGAGTCCTCAGACCGGCCTGCACCCTCCTCGAAGGATGCGGGGCCTTGCCTCGCGACTCCTTCTTGCTGACGCCGGGCCGCCCACTGCCGGACGACATCGTGAACGCTGCGGCCTCCTCCTGGGCTACTCGCGGTGGCTCGCCTCTCCTCAGAAGTTTGAGCAGAGAGCTCCGGAGGGGGGGGGTCGGGTCCACCACATCGCAACCCTCTCGGGCCCCCGCTCGGAGGAGAGGAGAGAGAAGGAGAGGGACTGACGCTGCTGCTGACTGGCGCGGGCCGACTCTCACCGGCCGATCCCTCCCCGCGGTCCTGGACCACGAACTGCTGGGCCGACATCCCCAGGGCGTCCTGGATCTCGCGGGCCAGCACGAACTGGGAGGCGGGGCGCTGCACCAGGTCGACCGAGCGGTGGCCGGACGGATGCGAGACCAAATCAAAAGCAACCGATCGGCCTCCCACCTTCACGCTCATCTGGTTCCGGGGGAGATCGATGACCGAGCCGAGGCAAGTGAGAAACTTGGCGGGCAGCAGCGGCGGACAAGATCCTTCTAGAATCAAGAACTCGACGATGCCGCAGCCCCCCGACGTCACGGGCACCCAAGCCTTCCCGACCGGTACCGCTCGACCCCCGATCCCGGAGGCTGCGACGCCGACGACCGGCGTCCAGTCGAGGATGAGCCGGTAGCCTCGGAGCTTCAGGGCACCCTCCAGCTCCAACACCTCGGCCCGGCCGATCAGAGCCTGCGCGGCCGCGGTGTCCACCAGCGCGTGCGTGCCGAGGCCCCTGAGGGTCACGTCGGCGAACGTCGCGCGGACGAGGTCGACCATCCCCGAGAAGCCGTCCACATCCTCGTTCACGAAAAAGTAGGTGAAGCCAGTCGGCGCCTTGGCACCAGCAGCTTTCTCCTTGGCCAACCGATCCGCCTTGGACTGGAATGGGTTCGTGCAGCTCTCGGCCCAGTGGCCTCGCTGCCCGCAATTCGCACACCGTGTCTTGCGGCGGAAATCCTTCTCCCCGATCTTCCGAAACCCTGGACGAGCTGGCTTCGAGGACTTGCGGCGGTCGAAGAAGTCACGGTCCGTCTTCTTAGCCAACTTCAGCTTCCGAGATTCGGTCCAGGTGCGTCGACGCTCCTTGCCATATTTCTCCTCCACTACTGCAGCAAAGACCTCGGCAGCTTCATATTCGTCCATGTCCTGCTCCTCCACGGCTGTCAGGAAAGCCAAAGCCTCGTCCTCTGGCAGCTCTATCTCGTCGTCGTCGTCCTCGTAGTAGGTCTCCGGAGGCGGCGGGCACTCCGATGACGAGGATCCCTCGTGCAAGAAACTCTTGGGGACGGGCGCCGGATTGGCTGGAAGGACCCGCTTCTCCTGCACATCAAGAAGCAACAGAGCCGACCGAATGGATGCGGCGTCCTTCTGACCACCCGCAAGCGTACGCAGGTTGATCTTGTTCTGTGCCGATAGATTCGCTCCTTCTTCCAAGTAGCGCGCCAACACATTGTCGGGGAGCACCAGCCCTCTAGCAGCTGCATCTGCCAGTTGAGCATCACGTCGAAGTACGAAATCGGTGATGCTCTTGTTGCGTTGGATCATGTAATCGAACAGCGCGTGGCTATGACTAAGACGATCTCTGTCGCCGGGCCGCTCTCCGTTGAGAACACTCAGGTGGTCCAAGTACGTGTCTACGCCATTCTCGAGCTCGAGGGCCTGTCGCACTGGCTTGAACTTCAGTTGGAGCTCCACCGGCAGAGATTCCACCAGCCGGGACGCCTGGGTCTCTGGCTGATGGCCGGTCCTCGTGGACCACGCTCGCACACTGCTGCTATACAGCTCTAAATGTTCTAATCCGAGCCAGCTTGGAGGAGGCCCGAAGTCACGGCTGCGTCCTGGGCGGCCCCAGGTCGGATTCTTCCAATCTTGGGCGTCGTACTCGTCCTGGTCGCCGTCGCCGTCGCCTCCTGCAGCCGTCCACGGTGTCCACGAGTGCCACCAGCCCGAGCTCCAGCTCCAGTTGTTCCACGCACTCTGACCCCAACCCAGGTCTGACCCCGTTGCCTGGATGCCAACAGAGCGCGCTTCATCACTACCTATCTCGTCGAAACCGTGATCATCACCATCCGCCGGCATGCCGGCGTCGAGAGGGCTCGAGCTCTTCCTGTTAGCGCTGAGGGTCCAGCACTCGCCACTTCTCTGCACGTCGGCTCCTCCCGCGATCTGCCTCACAACCACGTGCTCCGCTTACCACTGTCAAAAGGGCTCGGGGGCTCGGAATGTAAAGGAGTAGTCGGGGAGGGCGAACGTACCTTTCTGTGCTCAGTCTGGAAACCTCAGCGACTCCAAGGTGAGTCGCTCCCTAAGCCTAAAAGGCTGTGCACAACTGCAGAACACAAAGAGAGGGGGAGAGGGAGGGAGAACAAGAACCCGGGACCAGGGCGAGCCGGGTTACGATGACAGCGCCGCGGGGGCGAAACCCAGGGAGTCTGATATGGCCAGAGCGCGGCCCGGGGGGCAGCGCGCGGCCCGCAAACTCCTAGGGGATGACCCCTTGAGCTGGGAGACCCGGCCGAGGAGCCAAGGCCCACAGACGGCTTGAGCCAGAGGCTACGGACTGGTGGGGATACGCGAAGCGTCTAGAATTCTCATGCGGCGCCGGTATGAATCATGAGGCGACTGGCCCCCTCTCCCCCTCCCCCCTGCCCCCGTCACGCCAGATATCGCCCGGGTACAGAAAAGTTTCCTGGCACCAACGCGCGCTTGCCCATCGGAACCCTTCAAGACGCAGCCGATGTAACGTGGGCCGAGCGGGGCAACACATGCAAGCACGCACGCACGAACGCACGCACGGACACACACACACACAAACACGAAGACAAACACAAGCACACAAACACAAACACCATGACAGAAACACGCACAAACACAAGCACACACACAAACTCAAACACAAACGCAAGCACGAACACAAACACAAACACAAACACTAAACAAACACGAGCCCAATCACACATACACGTACACACAAACACAAACACAGACACAAACACAATAACGAACACCAACACACACGCAAACGCACACGCACACAAGCACAACACACAAACACAACCATAAACATAAGTATAAACACAACCATACACACAAACACAAGCACGCCCACAAGTACACACACAATCTCAAACACACACACACACACAACACACAACCACGAGCACAAGCACACGCACAAGCAAACACATAAACACAAACACACAAACACAAACGCAAACACATAATCATAATCACAATGGCAAACACAAGCACAACAACACTAATGAACTCACGCAGCCACATAACAACAACCACAACCACCAAACAACACACACACACAAACACCAGCACCAACAAAAACACAATCACACACACAAACACATACGCAAACGCAAACACAAACACACACACACACTGTCACACACGCACACACACGCACATACGCACACACTCGGCTCACACATGTCCTTCGGCGGCGAGCGAGGGGGGTAAGTGAGACGGGGCGAACCTTCTCAGAAGGCTCGGAAGTCCCTAAGCCTCCCCTGGAAGGCATCAAACACTCCTCGGATGGCGCGAGGGCATCCGAGAAGCCCCGCCGCCTGCTGCGACGGCCTTCCCTCCCCTCCTCACCTTCCCCCCCCCCTCGCTCGCCGCCAAGCCCTGTGAGCGGGCGTGCACCAACCGAGGTCCGCGCAAACCTGGGCCGGCCAGGGCCCAGCCGCGAAGCTCAAGTCGGACATGTCCTCCTGCAGGCGGATTGTGGACGAAAGTTCAAACATAGCCAAAACAAATGCACCCAAAAAGTCAAGCAGGAAAAGAAACATCGTCCCCAGACTATGTTTTGACCATTTTCGAGTATGCCTCCTGTGGAGGGACATGCCCGACCGACTTATCGCGAAGCCACGCCCGCCGCTCTCAGCACAGCTCCCGAGCGCGGGCCAGAGGAGGGCGGCAACGGGGGCAGCGGCTCCACGCGGCTCCCAGGCCTGGGCCCGCCAGGGGGCATTCATGGGCCGACCCCCGCCACCTGGCGCGGCCGGAGCCGACCCCTGGCCAAGCATCCCCTCCCATGGCGTCACCCTCGCCTCTCGAGCCTCCCTCTGGCCGCATGCAGCCGTCCTTCGGGGATGGACAGAGCCCCCTTTAGTAAAACGTTGTCGAGTGAGAACGACCTCGGGCCCAAACCTGGCGGGCGCGAGTCTGAAAAATGACGGCCTCGGCGCCCTCTTGAGAAGCGAAAGCGGACAATTCACTAATCGACGTATCAGGGCGGGGTTTCTGTCCACCCCCGAGTCTTGGGGCGAGGCTAGGGGGGCGTCACGGAAGGGTGTGGTTTGCCAGGGGTCGGTGAGGCCGCCCCTGACGTCAGCGCTGACCCACATTCGGGGATCTGCTGACCCGGGTCTATCCGAGCCATGGATCAGTTGGGCTCTGCAGGATCCTGCAAGATCCTGCAGGATCCTGCAAGCCCGGATCACAGTGTACGGCTGGCTCTGAAAGATCCTGCAAGATCCGGCGCCCTGACTGACCCCCGGTTGCACTGACCCCCGTCTCTTGAGCCCCGACCCGTCACGTGAGCCCCGACGGAGTATCATCGAGAGTCGCCGGCCCCTGGAACTGTGGATCCGACAGCCCCCCCTCCCTGGTGCATGTAGGCCTCGCCGTGCAGCCCCCCTTCGGCTGCCCCGTCGCGCGCAGTGAGGCCTTCGGAGATCCAAGAAGGGCTGAACGCGCTGAAACAACAAGACCAACGATCGATCCTCTCGATCAGCGACGACGAGTCTTCGATCCCTCCCCAGGGGGGGCGCTCGAGCAGTGCGAGGAAGACGCGGTGGGACACGTTGTTGATGGTGATGGTCTTCTGCTGAGCCTCGATCGGGGGGCGGAGTCTCCCCGAGTCAGCTGCTGGAAGGAGGGAGGGCAAAGGACATAAGAGAAGGAAGGGACGGACGGAGGGAGGGGAGAGGTAGGAAGAGGAGAAGCGAGGATGAGGAGCAGGAGGAGGAGGAGGAGGAGGAGAAGGAAGGGAAGGACGGAGGAGGGAGGGACAGAGCAGGGGGATCCCCCTGGGGCTCCAACACGCCTCGCCGCCCTGCAGGGCTACTCTCACACCTGGACGATGTCAGGGCGTTCGCGCCCCCAGAGCACGTGGCTGCAACGAAACCCCTTGCGGTAGAAACCCTCACAAAACTACAGCCCCAAGCGGCCTGGCCAGCGGACCGAGAAAGTGACCGACCTCCCAGAAGATAGCCGCGCTTCCAGAGTGGACTACTTGAAATGATCGCAGTGGCCTAGCGGCGGCAAGGAGGCGGCAGGCAGCGGCGACGGGCAGGCGTGTGATGTTTGGCTGCCACCCTTCCTGGGGGCCCAAAATGTCGCTTGATAGAGGGCGATGTACGAGCTCGTCGGCGCGTCTCCCAGGCCCTCCGAGACTCCAAATCCACTCTTTGAGCAAGGACCGACCGTCCAGACATTCTTACAGGCCTACCGCGACATGTTCTTAGAAAAATGTCAAATAACAAAGCAATGGTCTTGAACATCAGACCCGATGTTCCAAAACAACACAGGCTCAGCAAGACATGTTCTAATCAGATCTCGTGCAAGCCACGAGTGGCTCTTAGAACACTTGTCGGTGGGTCTATTGGCAAACCAAGACGCTTCGCCACTGCTCGGACTCTCGGACGCCTCCAAAATGCCCTGGATGCTCTCCAAGACGAGCCGCTCCTAGTCTTATGCCGGGCGTGTCCCCCTAGAGGGAGTTGTTCGACGAAAAATAAAAGATACCCCAAAAATACACCAAACAAGTCAAACAGTACTAGAAAAAATTGTCCCCAGACTAGTTTTGGACTATTTCCAGACAATTTTTGGGGTATTTTTAGGTTTCGTCGAAAATCCCCCTGTAGGGGGACAGGCCCGACTTAATCCCAGTTCTGCTGCGCACTCGGGCCATGCCGAGGCCGAGGCGGCCGGTACCCGGGCCCCACTGAACGGCGGCTCCTGAGCGGCCCGAGCCCGGCTCGTCCAAGGCCTGGGGGCCCTCGGCCGGCTCCTCCGCCCCTCCCCTTGGGTCGGGCCCGCCTGCAGGGGGATTTTCGACGAAAAGTAAAAGATACCCCAAACATGCCCCAAATTTGTTAAAAACTTCTCAAAAAATAGCCCGACTTCACCCTCCCCCCGTTCCCACCTCCACGACAGGCCCACCCCTGAGACGAATCCATGACTCGGGACGACCGACATGGGTACGGAGAGAATGGGTACAATGCCCAACAGCAGTTCCTGTTCATCTTGAACAGGACTCGCTGTCCGCGACGCCGCGGCATGTGTCCATTTGAAACAAATGGCCGCCCGCCCAACAGCGGCCGCTGTTGGTTTGGGACAGCGTAAGGGGGGACGCATGCGAATCCTGCCACAGGAGCCTTCGGTGACGTTCCCTGTGAGGGCACGGCTCGTGCAAGGCGGATGCTGAGATGGGCGGGACGGCGCCATTCAAGCACTGTCACGGGGGCCTTGGGTGGGGCCCGCTGTGGGACCACGACAAGTGCAAGGGGCGTGCCGCGCGGAGAGCAGATGCAAGGATGGGTGGAGGGACGGGGGGGCAGGAGGAGGAGGAGGAGTGGACGCGGAGCCCTGTCTATTCAAAGCAAGGAGCCAAATCCATAGGACGGCTGGGAAATAGGAGGACAAAGAGGACGAACAATCGGAGGAAAGCCAAGATTGGCACGCAGCCGGGGACGGTTGGGGGGTTTCGGATGACTTAGACCTCGTCAGGGGGGAAGAGCAGCCACGAAGGCGGACACGAAAGGAGGGCAGACCCCCACGAAGGGACACGAAAGGAGAGCAGCCACGAAGGCGGACACGAAGGCAGACACGAAGGGAAGGGGGGGCGGGAAGAGCAGCCACGAAGGCGGACACGAGGGAGGAAGGCGAAGGGGGAAGGACGACGAGGTGTCCAGAGGACCCTTGAGGTCCCCGGGGCCCTCCCTGGAGACGCTCCTGGTGGTCCAGAAGGCCTCCAAAAGCGTCCGAGCCTGCGACCAACAAAACACGCACAAGCACGCACAGACACAGACACAGACACGGACACAGACACAGACACGGACACAGACACAGACACAGACACCGACACAGACACAGACACAGACACAGACACACACACACACACACACACACACACACACACACACACACACACACACACACACGCTCCTGGTGGTCCTGAAGGCCTCCAAAGCGTCCGAGCCTTCGACCACAAGCACGCACAGACACAGACACAAACACGAACACAGACACGGACACAGACACAGACACAGAGACACACACACACACACGCCAAATGAACTTGCTTCGAGCAGGTCCCATCCCAAAGCGCGAGGCGGAACACCCAGGGAGCACTGGCACACTTTTGAATCTGGCGGACATGGCATCCCATAGTCACTCCTCGAAGACACGAGCCTGGATGCCGGGGGAGCACCCGCACACTTTGGGCCTGGCGACCGCGGTAGGCAGGGTGTACGAGGCGGGTACAGAGCTTCTTTCTGCAAGTCTAGCAGCCGCAACCTGTCAGGGGAGGAACCGAATACACGAGGCGCCGCCGCCAGGCCTCGCGCATCTGCCCGTCGAACATGGCTCGGAAGTACGAGCACCGCATGCAAAGAAGCTTGTGCGCGTAGACCTGCATGGTCCCCAACGGCGACGCGGCGTCGTCGCATTCGCCGCCGCCGCCGTGGTCGTCATCATCATCATCATCATCATCATCATCATCATCATCATCATCATCAGCATCATCATCATCATCATCATCAGCATCATCAACATCATCATCCTCATCCGCATCTTCATCATCAGCATCAGCATCAGCATCCGCATCCTCATCATCAGCATCAGCATCAGCATTAGCATCAACATAATCATCAGAATCATCAGCGTCAACATCATCAACACCACCACCATCCTCAACATCATCATCATCAGCAGCATCATCGTCAGCGTCATCATTATAATCAGTATCATCCTCATCATCACCATCACTATCACCATCATCATAATCATCATAATCATCATAATCAGCATCGCCACCGCAACCACCATCATCATCATCATCATCATCATCATCATCATCATCCTCATCCTCGTCATCCTTATCCTCATCCTCATCCTCCTCCTCATCCTAATACTCATCAACATCATCAGCATCAGCATCAGCATCAGCATCAGTATCATCATCATCATCATCACCATCACCATCACCATCACCATCATCATCATCATCATCATCATCATCATCATCATCATCTTCAGCATCATCAACATCCATCATCACGAACACAATCATCATCATCGTCATCGTCATCGTCTACGTCATTTTCCTCATCACCATCACCATCACCATCATCATCATCATCATCAGCATCAACATCATCAGCATCATCACCATCACCATCATCAGCATCATCATGATCACCATCACAACCATCATCATGACCATCATCATCACCATCACCATCACCATCACCAATATCATCACTATCACCATCATCATCACCATCACCATCACCATCATCATCATCATCACCGTCAGCATCATCAACATCCATCATCACCAACACAGTCATCATCATCGTCATCGTGATCGTCTTCGTCATTTTCCTCATCACCATCACCATCATCATCATCACCAGCATCAACATCATCAGCATCATCACCATCACCATCACCATCATTATTAGCATCATCACCATCAGCAGCATCATCATCACCATCATCATCGTCGCGGTCCTGACCCAGGTCGTTGTCGACGGGTGAGGAGGTCGAGGGCGAAGAGAGAGAGAAAGCAAGAGAGAGAGGGCGGGGCGAACACAAACAAAAGAGGGAAACCGAGAAAGAGAGAAAGAGAAAGAGGAAGACGAGAAAGGGAAACCGAGAAAGAGAGAGATAGAGAGGGGGGGCGGAGGAGGGGGGGGAGGGAGAGGGGGGGAAGACAAGCTAGGTGCGCGCGCCCCATGTCTGACATCCTCACTCTCCCACCCATCCCTTCCCTCTGCGCTCGTGTTCTCTAACCGCCATTGGGTGCCTGAGAGGACCTAGATCCCCCGATCCGCCACAAACATCCGAAGCCTGTGGAACTCCCCCCCCCCCTCCTCCCTCCACACTCACGCGATCTGGATACTACTATCGTTTCTGTCTCTCCCTCTCTCTCTCCTTTTTGGTTTTCTCTCTCTCTCTCTCTCTCGCTCCCTCTCTTTCGCTGCATCTACATATCCGCGGGTCCGGCGTGCGAGTTTGAAAGAGCCTAAGCTACAGCCTACAGCCTGAGCTTCAACTCTGCTGGGGGGGGGGGTGCTAGGGTGGCCCTGCCGGGGAAGGGGAGGGCCCCTATCGACGATCCATGGGCCTGCGGCCGCCACGGGTCCCGAGGAAACGGTGTCCTGGGCCACCCTGCCGATGATCCTCAGGACATGCGCTAGCGCCAATGTGTGCTTGTCCACCCACCGAGTCCCCGCCGCTTGCCACGCCGCCCGCACCCACATCTTCTTCGGCATCCCCGCGCCGGCTTTCATGGTCTGCGCGGGCTGTCCTTCGCCTTCATGCATGCCTCAACTCGCTCCTTGTTCACCCCACCGCCTGCCAAGACCAGCGCCCTACTGTCTTGAACCAGTTGGCCGGTTCCGAAAACCCTGGACCCAACAACGTTTTCGCCGCCTCCCGCCGCCTTCCGCCGAGTTTCCACCGGCGGCGGCGGCCTCGTTCTACTTCCGCCGACCGTCCGCCGCCTTCCGCCGCGGAAGAGATAACGACTCCTTCGACCCTCAGAGGCAAGGCCCTTCTTGGAACGCCCCTCTTGGCGCCCGCAGAATTGCAAAGATGTTCACCGAGGCCCTTCGCCTCCTCCTCCTGCTCTTCCTCCTCCTCCTCCTCCTCCTCCTCTTCCTCCTCCTCCTCCTCCTCCCCCTCCCCCTCCTCCTCCTCCTCCTCCTCCTCCTCCTCCTCCTCCTCCTCCTCCTCCTCCTCCTCCTCCTACCTCCTCCTCCTCCCCCTCGAGGCCCTTCAGCGAGGGCCGACACGGGGCCGCGCGCTGTCGGCGGAACCGCACACCCTCGGGCCGACACGCGTCCTGAGGATCATCGGCCCTGCCTCAGGACTAGGTCAAGCATGTCCCCCTACAGGCGGAGTTTGGACGAAAAGTTAGAAATATTCCAACGATCCCCCCCCTCCCCCCCAAAAAAAGCATCCTCCCCCTATCATGTTCGACTATTTTCGAGTATTCCTCCTGTAGGGGGACAGGCCCGTCTTAGTCTCGGTACATCCGCTCGGGGACACCGCTGCAAGCAGGACTCCCCGAACCCAAGCCCTACTCACCCGAATTTGCGTTTCGGGCCTGTGACGAATGCAAGAAGACCTGGAAGTGTACTGAGCTTCCCGAGTAAGAGCATACCTTGAGAACAGCCGCTGGAATTCATTACGGGGCAACTCACATAACATTAACTAATGGACAGAATCCACTTGTAGTATAACGTGGTTTAGTGAACACGACCTCGGGCCCGAACCTGGCGGGCGCAACCTTGGGAAATGGCGGCCGCGGCGCCCTTTCGAGAGCCGAAAACTGACAATTCACTAATCGACGTGTCAGGGTGGGGGTTCTGTTCACCCCCGAACTTACGAAATAGCTTGAAATTCAGAGCTCCTCCTGAAACCCACAGTGGTCCTTCTCTGAGCGCCTCGGCTGTATAGAGAGCAGGAACTCCGTCCTCATAAAACGTGCCCCGCGAGCGAAGCCGCTTAGTCGCGCCCAAGGGAGGGAACGTTTTCTGATTCGGCGATTCGACATTGGCCAGAAGGGGGGGTCTGCTGTTTGCAACAGTACGTCCTCTGGGGGAGACTCCACCTGCGTGAAACAGAAGCCAAAAACAGCCAAAATCTACTCCAGGGGGGGAGGTGCGAGGACCAGTGCCGATCGGCAAAACACTGAATAAGAAAACGATCACAAAGAGTCGAACAGGGCAAGGCTGTTTAGTAAACGCCGGAGACCGGCTAGTGCACGCCAGTTATCGGGGTCGGGGTGGCTTTGCCTCCTTTGACTACAGGAGCTCCCAGAAGGGGCGAACACAAAGCTCCAGGAGGCCCGCCTCACTCAAGATCTGCTTGCGCCACGGCCGGGGAGACGCGAGACTCGGGCTTCGCGGGACTCGGGTTGGCCTGGCGACCACCTACCAGACCACCCGATCCTGACCCGAACACCCACATCTCAGCGTTTCTTCAATGCTCCCCGACGCCCCCCCACTGGGACTGGAGGGCAAATTAGAGCCTTCGAGTTGGGTTGGGGTGGTTTGATGGGTGGGTCATTCCACGAAAACTGGACCGCCCAAACCCAAGACGCGCTCGTCAAAACGCGTCGGCAGACCCGAGTTCCAGCGTCCGAGTCTTGCGCTTCCCTGAAATAGCGATCCTCCAGCGGGTTAAGACGAAGCCAAGGCGAGGATGACATCGGATGAGGATAAACTGGGGATTGGCGGTCTTGAGTCTTGAGGATATGTCGGGCGCCGCGGCCATCTCAGACCAGGGAGGGAGGGAGAGCGGGAGGGAATGAGGGGATGGGGGGTCGGGGAGGAGGAGGAGGCGGAGGATGAAGGAGGAGGAAAGGGAGGAGGGGGAGGAGGTGGAGGAGGAGGAGGAGGAGAAGGAGGAGGATGATGAGGAGGAACAGGAGGAGGGCGACGGGGAGAAGGAGGACGTTCAGGAACGCTCTAGAGCTGATTTGTCCTCGTCCTGGCCCCGTCCGACGGGTGCCCGCCCTCCGACGGACCGGCTTGCCCTCGACGAGGAATGTGACGTCGGACAGCTTCGTCTCGTTGAGAAATCCCCGCAGGTCGGAGACCAGCGAGCTGCGTCGGGAAGCGACGGCGGCAGGGCGCGGCCCGTCGCCACCGCCGCCGACCCCGCCGTCGTCGTCGTCGTAGTCGTCGTCCGTCCGTCCGTCCGTCCGTTTGTCCGTCCGTGGTCGTCGTCGTCGTCCGTCCGTCCGTCCGTCCGTCCGTCCGTCCGTCCGTCCGTCCGTCCGTCCGTCCGTCCGTCGTCGTCGTCGTCGTCTCGGACGGAGAGGGGGGCGCGGAGGGATGAGTCGTGAGGGAGGGGGGGCAGCGAGAGGACGCCGACGACCGCGCAAGGTTCGACCCTATTCGGCATGCAGGAAAGCGTTCTTCTATTTCCCCACATCCTGGTTCTTGTTTTCCCAGAACGCCCTCTCCTTCCCACCCACCTCCCGCTCCATCTTCCATACAGCACAATATTATTCCTACCACACACACACACACACACCATACCATACCATAGTTCCTACCACACATACCATACCATACCATACCATACCATACCACACCATACGTACCATACCGTACCATACCATACCATGGCGTACCATAGCATACCATACCATATCACACCAATGCCACACCGTACCATACCATACCATACCTCCAGTACCATACCATACCATATCATACCATACCGTACCATACCATACCTACGAGGAGGGTATCGGAAAACCATACTATTTACATGGTTTCGTGCCCCTCCCACCCTTCCAGGGAGGCCCCGCCTGAGCGAGGAGGGTATCCGAAAACCATATTATTTACATGGTTTCGTGCCCCTCCCACACCTCCAGGGAGGCCCCGCCTGAGCGAGGAGGGTATCCGCTGGCCGGTTCTTTCGACGTGTTCTGACCGGCTGACGGAAAACGGCCAAACTGGACATAACGGGCCACCACTGACAACGGCCAGGGGGCCCACTGACAACGGCCAGGGGGCCCACTGACAACGGCCAGGGGGGGTCACTGACAATGGCCAGGGGGCTCACTGACAACGGCCAGGGGGGTCACTGACAACGGCCAGGGGGGTCACTGACAACGGCCAGGGGGGCCACTGACAACGGCCACGGGGGGTCACTGACAACGGCTAGGGGGCCCACTGACAACGGCCAGGGGGGGTCACTGACAACGGCCAGGGGGGGTCACTGACAACGGCCAGGGGGGTCACTGACAACGGCCAGGGGGGTCACTGACAACGGCCAGGGGGGGTCACTGACAATGGCCAGGGGGCCCACTGGCGGCGCGGAAAGGAGGCGGACGAGGTGTGGCGCCCCTTCCGCCGCCATTCGCCATCCGTCGCCGTCTTCCCCATCCTTTCTCGCCTCCTCCTGCTGCACCTCCTCCTCATCATCACTCCTCCTCTTCCCCATCATCCTTGTCCTCCTCCTCCCGCATCCCGCGCCTTCTCGGTCCCCTCCTCATCGGCCCATCCCCCTTTTCCGTCTCTTCCTCTTCCTCCTCCTCCTCCTCCTCCTCCTCTTCCTCCTCCTCCTCCTCCCCCTCCTCCTCCTCCTCCTCTTCCTCCTCCTCCTCCTCCTTCTCCTCCTCGTCCTCCTCGTCCTCCTCGTCCTCCTCGTCCGCCTCCTCCTCCTCCTCCTCCTCCTCCTCCTCCTCCCCCTCGTCCTCCTCCTCTTTCCTGGGGACGCGGCGCCGCGCCGATCTCCCGCATACGCGGCGGCCGCGCCCCTAGCGAGCGCGCGATCGCCCGCCGGCTCGGCGGCGGAGGGGGGGGGGGGAGCGAGAAGGGGCGGCCCTGTTCTCGGGAGGCCCGACGGCCTCTGGCCTCATGATTCACGACATGTTTCCTGAGCTTCCTTCCTGGAAGGAAGCTCCGGAAACATGTCATGAGGCCTTCTGAACAGGTCCGCCCCATCTCGCTTCCTTGCTGGGCTCGCCGCCGAATGAATCCCACCAGCCCTGTGTAGGGCGACGGCGATTCCTCTTCCAACCCCCTTATTACCCTTCGGGGAGGGGCTTGCCCCTCCCGGCCCCTTACCCTTACCCCTTACCCTGGCCCATCCCTTGGACAGGGCGTTCCGCGGGGGGCGTCCAAAGCTGCCTCGGCGAGAAAGCCAAAATCACTGGGTGACCCCAAGGTTTTGACTTCATTTTGGCCTTCTAGGGGGGGCAACTCGAAGTGAAGCTCACATCACATCTCGTTTGGTCGATACCCTCCAAGCCGTGGTCCAAGCCCGAAGAGCGCCTCCAAAGCTCCCAAGAGCGCCCCACGAAGGCCCCAGGGCCCAAGAGGCGCCCTAAATGGCCCAAGAGGCCACCAAGAGGCTCCCAAGAGACCCCCAACCGGCCCCAAGAGGCCCCCCGGGACGCCCAAGAAACAAGAGAGGCCCGGGAGAACCCCAAGACGGCCCGAAGAGCGCCCAAGCGTGTCCCAAGAGCGCTCCAAGAGGGGCCCTACGTCCGCGTGGTGCCCACTCATTTCCCTGATCGAGGCAAATCCTCCGGCCATCGCCCATCGTCGATCGTCTCTGGATGGGCTGGTTGGGTTACGCGAAGCGTCTAGAATTAATTATTGTACTCAATCGGCCTGGATGGCCGATTGACTTTACAACGCACGCCAGGCCCCCCAGTGTCCACGCCACCGGGGGGCGGAAGTGCAGGGCTCTCAGATGGGATCGAAGTAGACGCCGTCGGAGGATCGCACTGCGTCGCCGACGCATCGCGCGAGCGCGATGCGCGATGCATCGCCGATGCATCGGCGATTCGGCGATGTAGTGCGATCCAGCGATCCACTCCGACCCCGTGCGAGGCCCCCCAAACAAGCATGCTGCCGAATGCAGCTCGTCGCCCAAGCATGCTGCCGAATGCAGCTCGTCGCCCTTCTCCTCCTCCTCCTCCTCCTCCTCCTCCTCCTCCTCCTCTTCCTCCTCCTCCCTCACTCCCCCTCCCCCTCCTCCTCCTGCCCCTCATCATCATCATTATCATCAGCATCATCATCATCTGCATCATCATCATCATCATCATCATCATCATCATCATCATCATCATCCTCGTCATCGTCATCGTCATCATCATCATCATCAGCATCATCAGTATCATCATCATCATGATCATCATCATCATCATCATCAGCATCATCCCCTGTTCTCCTCTCCATCCTAATCCTCCCCCCACCTCCTCCTTCCCCTCCCCAGCCCACTCCCCCACCGCCTCCCCCTCCTGTACTCATCCTCTTCTCCTCCTCTATTGAACTCGCGCCCCTCACACCACGGCACGCGCCACCTTCTGAGCAGGGATCGACCGTCCTGACATTGTCCTACCACGAAATATTGTTGGAACCCAGAAATGCCAGAGTAACAAAAACAATGCTCTTAGAACATAAGCCCGAGGCGGTGACGCACAACATACTCCGCTCGAACCTCGAACCTTCAGCCTGCTCTGGCCTGGCGCCGCCGCCGCCTCCTCGAGGCCGCGCTTCTTGGCCGCGGGCTTGGCCTTGGCCGCGGTGGCCTTGGCCTTGGCCTTGGCCTTCCCGCGCGCCAGGCGCGCCTCGGGCGGGGGGCAGCGACGCGAGGAGGGAAGGAGTATAGATCAGTATAGGTTTCCAAGATTGGGTCGGAGTAGATGGCGTCGGGGATCGCGCCGCATCGGCGATGCATCGGCGATGCATCGCAGGTGCATCAGCGATGCGTTGGGGACGTCGGCGGCGCATCGGCGACATGGGCGCGGAGAAATCGATATCCACATCGACGCATCGACCCGCGTCGCCGATGCATCGGCGATACACGGCGCCGGGCCATCCCCCGGCCCAGGGGAGGGGGCGGGCTGACGACGCAGGGGGGTGACCCCATCCCCCCACCCCCCCTCTCTCCCCCGCACTTTTTCTTCCTTGATGCGGTCGTGGCGCGCGATCTCGGAAGGTTCACGGGCAGCGTCTCTGGCTGCGATTCCGCCGCAGCACCTGGGAGAGCGGGCGCTGCGCGGCACCTAAGAGAAAAAAGCGCGGAGGAGAGAGGGGGGGTGGGGGGTGGGGGGGGAAAGGACGATGGCACGATGAGATGATCTCAATGAGATGCACACACACATGCGGCACGTTGCGGGCGAGTGAGTGTGGCATGGCTAAGATAGCGGAGACTGCGGGCGGAGGCGAGGAGAACGTAGCACGCGCTGGGCTCACACCGCCGTGGGACTAGCACTAGTGGCGGGAGCAGTGGCTCTGATTCTGTTCATTCACGGCGAGACCGACGGCGACGCCAGATCGGCGTCGCAGCCTGCTTAGCATTGCGTAGCATACTGCTGCTGAAATCCTCGAGTCCTCCTGCTGAGCATCCTCCCTCTGAACGCCATGCCATCCGCCCCTACCTCATCCTCGATCACCTCCTGCGACGGCGCCATCCTGGGCCATGGGCCCCCCTAGACGCCGCCGTGCGTGCCAGGCAGTGGCGGCCCAACGGCCCGCCCACTTTGGCCCGCAACTCACGGCACGCCCGTGCTGCCATCATTATCCCCCGGCGGGTACCACGACGAGTCTTCGGTCTTCCAGTTCCAAAAGTACACGCACAGGAAATCATCTGAATAATATGTCATCCAACCGTCAGCCATCTGCTCATGGGTCAAGAAAGCATAGTGGGCCCACTTGGCACCGTACACTTCCTCGACGGCCGGCCGTATATGCAGCACGTGCAGCACCTGGGGAGGCGAGCGACGCGACAGAACAAGACGGATCACCAGGCAGCTGGACAGGGCGAGCGGGACCAGCGAGGGGGGAGGGGGGGGGCGAGCGAGAGGGCGAGCGAGCAGGCGAGAGAAGTCGAGAGAGCGCGGAGGCAACGAGCAACGAGAGACGGCGAGAGAGGGCGAGGGGGAGCGCCCGTAAGAAGGTGGGAGAGAGTGCAAGCAAGAGGGCGAGAGAGAGAGAGAGAGAGAGAGAGAGAGAGAGAGAGAGAGCGCGAGCGAGAGGGTGCGAGAGGACGCGAAGGGTGCGCCCGAGCAAGGGGGCGACGGTAGACGGGCGGAAGCGTGCGAAGGCCCCAGGGGCATCGCAGGAGAGCGAGAGGGCGATGGCCCAGGAAGCCCACGCGGGAGGGGCCTGGACGCAACGAGAGAGAGCTGTCCAAGACATCGGAGGGCGTGGAGGGGTGGGGCGCCGCACTCGGGCGGAGGCGTGGTGAGAGGCAGAGGGCACGGTGGATGCGACAGGGGCGGGGGGGGCGGGGTGGGGGGCACTGGGCGAGACGCTAGCGGAGAGAAAGCACCTCGGGCATCGGGCGGTCGTCGAGCATCTCCTCTGCAGCGCCGCCGGCGGCTCTGTCGCCAGGGCCCCCGCTGCGGGCGGCCGCGGCGGCCTCGCCAGACTCGCCGTCGCCCTCGCCACCGCCGCCGCCGACGCGTCGTCAGCACCGCCAGTGACGTGCCCCCGCCGCCGCCGCCGCTGCATCGCCGACATCATCATGGTCGCCAGCATCGCCGACGTCAGCACCGCCGCCGCCGACCCATCGCCGATCTCACCCTGGTCGCCATCAGCGCCGACGTCAGCACCGCCGCCGACGCATCGCCGATGTCACACATGCCGCTAGCATCGCCGACGACGTCACCCACCAACGACGACGGCGTCGGCACTGCCCCGCCTGCGACGGGCGGATCGTGACCCAGGCGCCGCTCTTCGCTGGCGGTGGGCTGAGCGTCGGCGGATTGCCAAACGTCGGCGGCGGCTCTGCGGTGCCAGCATCGGCAGGCTCCGCGGCATCCCAGGGCAGCGGCGGCGGTGGCCGCTTCGCAGCGGGCTTCGCCAGGTGGGCGAACTGCGGCGGGGGCGGCTTGCGAATGAGCAGAGGCGGGCCATCGTGCTCGCGCTGGGGCGGGGGCGGCTCGCCAGCAGCTGGGCCCGCCAAGGCCTCGGGCGCCATCGGCTCCCAGGAGCTCGCCGCCCCCGCGCCCGCAGCGTACTTGGCGGGGGGCGGCTTGACGGCGGGGGCAGCCTTCTTCGGCCGCGGCGGCGGCGGGCCGCCGCTCCAGGGGTCTGTGCCGTCAGGCGAGGTCGCCGTGGCCGCGGCGTCCTGAGGCGGCTGCTGCTGCTGCTGGGGAGGCGTCACCAGTGTTGGCGTAACTGGCATCGGCCAGGAGACGCTGGGGGGGCTGCCTGGCGGCGGCGATGGGGGCTCACTCGCATCGCCTGGCGAGAGCGTCGTCAAATCGGCGGGCTCAAAGTAGCCTCCGCCATAGAGCCAGGTCAGGTCCGTCTGCGCGCTCGCCTCGCGGGCCACAGGAGCGTTGAGCCAGGTCTGCGCCGCCGAGACCTCCGCTGCAGGTGCCGCTGGTGGTGGGTCCGTAGGCTCGGACTGTGAGGACTGAGACGCCAGCTCTGACATGGGCTCATTGTCGGAGTCGAACTCGTCGACAGGCACCGGCAGCGTCGCGACGTCAACAGGGGCGGCGGAACCGCCGGCGCACTCGGGCGCCATCGCGCGGCAACGGCCAGGCGGCGCAGAGGCCGCGCAAGCCAGGGACGCCGCGGATTGCGATGCCCAGTCGCCTGTGAGCCCAAGCAGCAGCGGGAGGCGCCGCGCCACGGCTGCCAGCGGCTGCGCCAGACGGACGACGGCGACGACCTCCGACACAGCGAACGGCCCACACCGACGGACCGTTCACGACGAGCAGGCGCACGTGCGGAGCCACTGCGGACCAGGCCAGGACCGACCGCGAGCGACCAGGGGCGACCGATCGACCAGGGGCGACTGAGCGTTCTGGAACGCCCTGAGAGAAGGCCGCGACGCCCGATACATCCTCCAGAGCCGCCGGATCTAGGAGATTCTCGATTCATTGTCACCTGCGTTTGTCCTCGTCATGGCTTAGCGTTGGTTTCAGGAGCGGAGCGCCTGGAAGGAAAGAGAGGGAGGGACTAGAGCGGAGAGAAAACCAGGGGGCCAGGAGAGGGAGGAGCGGCGCCGAGGCCTGAGTTGGCTGCTCCGCCTCCGGAGCCTCCTGCGCCGCCGGCGCCGCCGCCGGCGCCGCCGCCGGCGCCGCCGCCTGCGGCCGCCCGCCAAGCTCCGCGGCCATGGCCGAGGCCTCGCCGCCCGCTGGCGCCTCGCGGGAACGGGAAAGGGAAACCGATCCCCATCCCCAGCGGCGCGGCCTGGGCCCCACTGGCCGATTCAACCCCCTAGATCGGCATCGATGCAAACCGTTCCCTTCGGGCTGCGGCTCCGAGGGGTGCATCCACAACCAGGGGGGCGCAGTCAACCAGCACAGTAAGGAAGGGCGAGTAAGGGCGCAAGGGCCTTGGGCGTCCATCGCGAAGTTTTTCTAGCGGGGCGCGGCCGGTGAAAGTGGCCGAGGATGGAGCGAGGAGGCAAGGGTGCAAGGGTACCCTTGGGAAGGTTTCCCATCCTTACTATTCGGGTTGACTGTTATTTGGTGATGGCCTCGAGGGGAGAGGGGATGGGCATGGGGATGGGCCGGGGGTCGGTCAAACGATACCGTGCTGAGTAAAGGCAGGGTGGGGAGCAGCTGTAGGCGGTTTCAGACACATGTATTTTCCCAGGGTCCAAACGCGCTGGTCGTTCGCGACGCGTCCAGCTGTCGCGACGAGGGGGGGCCGAAAAGACAGTCGGTGTCTCGAAAAGCCTCGCTCCAAGTCTCAGCTGCAATTGAGCAGGGACCGACCGTCCTGGCATATCATATCATATCCATATCTATGGGCCATGCCTATCACGAGATGTTCTCAGAACCCAAACATGTTCTGATAGATAGCCAAACAATGTTATTGTAACGTAATCCCGATGCGATAAAACAAAACATCCCCAACCAGAAATACTATAAGAACAATAGGCAAGCCAGGGCGCTTCGCCACAAGTCGACCTCCCTCGCCAGCGGCAGTGTCTTGGCCCTCCTGGCGAGCGGGCCGAGCCACATCTTCTCCTCGGACTCCTCGGCCTCGACCGCCGTCTGAGCCTCGACCACCGTCTGAGTCTCGGGCACCGTCGCGGTCTCGTTCTTCGCCACCTCCTCCTTCTCCTCGTCGACCGGGCCATTCTCCGCCGCCTTGTCCTCCTTGTCCTCTTCGTCCTCCATCGCCGCCTCTCCCTCGCCGAGGAACCTCTCCGTCGACCTCCGAGCCTGCGCCGTCGGGATCGACGTCGGGCTCCTCGGCGGCCGCGGGGGCGGCCGGCGCTTCGGGTGCCTCTGGCTGCGCGCCGACGGCCTCCGGCCGCGCGCCGCCCGGCCCCTCGGCGCAAGCCTTGGGGCAGCTGCGGCAGCGGCCGACCGCCCTGGCCGTCCTAGAGCCTATTAGGTGTTTGCCACTTGTGACATGTTGTTAGAACCCACGCATCATGTTACGGTTCTAAGAGCAAAACAATGTTTTTAGAACAAAAGCCCGATGTGTTAACACACGACGTCCCAGCCAGACATACACTACACACATTTAGTGAAACTCGCAAACAGTTCTTAGAACATTGTTTGGTAAGCTAGGCACGCCGGGACGCTTCGCCGCTGCCCGCCTGCCCCCCTGCCGTCGGCGCGCCCTCCGGCTCGGCCGCGCGCGCCGGCGCGACAGGCGGCGCCTGCTGCGGCGGCGGCGCCGCCGACGCCGCCGCCCGCGGCGCGCCCGCCGGGCGCCACGCAGGCCCCGCCTGGGCGGCGGCAGGCAGGAAGGGGCAGGGGGAGGAGGAGGAGGAGGAGGAGGAGGAGGAGGAGGAGGAGGAGGAGGAGGAGGAGGAGGAGGGGGAGGAGGAGGAGGAGGAGGAGGAGGAAGAGGAGGAGGAGGAGGGGCGGAGGAGGAGGAGGAGGAGGAGGGGGAGGAGGAGGAGGGGGAGGAGAAAGGAAACAAGGAGAGAAGAGGAGAGGGGAGAGACAGGCGCGGGAACGAGGAAGCCAGAGGGCCGGGGAGAGGGAGGAGGGGGTGGGGAAGGGGAAGGGGGAACAGCAAAAGAGGGCTAGGAGGGCGAGGAGGAGGCGGGGGGGAGGGGGAGTCGGAGGGCGTCCTGCACCATGTCGCCGTGGGAATCCATGAAGGCCCTGACGAGCGGGTGGATCCGCAACACACCCACCTTGCTAGCCACCAAGCGCGCGCAGCGCACGATCACCTCCTCGCGAACCTCGCCCTGGCGAAGCGGACGCCACATCGCCAGCACCGCAGTGCCGCTCCCGGCGAGGAGTCCAGCCCGCTGAACGGCGTCGTTGCTGGCCGCTGGGTCGAACCCGAGAGCGCCCTCGCACAGGGCGCGCACGTCGCGGACAGCGGCGCTGTAGAACCACTTCATCTCGGCGAAGATGGCCCTCATGAGCGGCGCCGAGCACATCGCGACGACGTCGTCCTTCTTCTGGTAGAACTCGCCGGCGGTCTCCGACATGAGAGCTGCCAAACCCACCTGCTGCGCGGAGCGATCAGCGCCGAGGGCCACCCGGGCCACGAAGTCCACCACCGACTGCCGCAAACCAGCCTTGTCAGCGTCGTGCGCCCTCTTGCACTGAGTGACCAAATCGATCATCCTCGCGTGTAAATCTGACGATATCCCCGACCATGATTCAGCGAACTCCATGATCTGCTTCAGCGTCTCGCCCTGATACACCGCCGCCTCGAGATGCTTCATCATGCTCGTCAGGCCGTTCATTCTATCATCTTCTGACAGGTCGCTCTCGACGGCGGGCAAATTCTTGACGAGGTGGTGCCCGCTGGTCGGCTGCTGCTTGAACCGGGCAAGCAACGGCGCCCACGCCATCGCGTCGATGGAGGCGCCGCGATGCTCGGGGTCGTCGAGGATCGAGGGCGAGGGGCAAACGAAGCCCCTGTAATGGGAGACGAACGTGGAGAGCACCTGGGACGCAAGAGCCGCGAAACAAAAACTCGGGGCGGATGGCCCCGCCCACCTCCTCGGGGGAGGGGGCGGTCGGGGAGGGGGGTAGGTGGGGGCGGTGGAGGATCTCGAGAAGTGGGAGGGAGGGAGGAGGAGGAGGGAAAGGGGGGGAGGGAGTCGGAGGAAGAGGGGGGGCTTTCGGCGGAGCTCCATCGCCATTCCCCCCCCCGCCCCGCTCCCCCCCCCCCGCTTCCCCCTCCTCCTCTCCCAACCCCGCCTCTCTCCTTGCCCCTCGCGTCGGCTCCATGGAAAGTTTTGCCCAGAAAACGTTGGGCTCTCACCTCGACGACGTTGTCCGCGACTGCCACGTCGCCTGGGATCCAGGTGCCAAGGAAGCGCTCGACGCACACCGGCCCCAAATCCCAGAGCTGCTTAGCCTGCGTCTTGAATTTGGCCATGACGCCGTCGTTGAAGATGTAGCAGTTGAGGCGCTTGCTGATGACAGCCCGGACCTTCGCCTCGAACTCCTTCGCGTTGTCGTCGGGGTTCTTCAGCATGGCGTGCTTATCGTCGTTCTCGTCGTCCAGCAGCTCAACCAGCTTCAACAAGACGGGGTCGCACAAGTCAAAGGGGGCATTGCCCAGCAACGCAGAGACCCCGGCGATCACGCAGCGGGTGTCGACGGAGATGGCCGCGCAGGTCGTGGTGAAGCCGTTGGTTTGCTCGGCGGTCGCGAACTTGGGGAATGCAGTGTCGGCAATGTCTGGAAGGGCCTCCATCGTCGCATGCGTGCTTGCCAACTGCCACGCCGCTTGCCGCTGATCGTCGATCTTCAGAGTTCCCGATGCGTCGTTGCATATCTCATTGAGAAGAGGCAGCGCCGGCTTGAAGATTTTATCGATCACCGTTTGGATAGACCTGACGCCGTATGCCGACATAAAAGAAGCCCTGGCGTTCTCGAGGAAGTCGCTCACAGCAGCCAACTGCACCTCGTTGGCCGCCTTGAACCGATCGGTCATGACGCCCTGGAGCTTCGACAGATTCTCCTGCAGATTCTGAAGCACCGCGACTTGGTCGGAGTCGATGGTGACCTTGTCCTCGCAAAGGCCTCTGAGGGCGCCAACCTTGCCGACGTCCTGGGTGAGCTTGTCCAAGGTCAGGCGCAGGCCGCTCTCTGCCTTCACCGCCGCAAGCTCGTTGTCCACCTGTTTCATCAGCAGCAGGCCCGTATCGAATACCTTCATCGACCTGGCAAACTTCGACTGGTAGTCGCCGGCCTCCTTCGAGTACGCGTCCTTGATCTCCTCGATCTTATCCAACTCGTCCGCGGACGCCTGCTTCACCAAGGCGAGGGCGACCCACCTGGAGAGGTCGCACCGGCAGCTCGACTCGGGCATGTTGGGCAATAACTTCACGACCTCCGTGGCGAACTTCGCACAGGCGTCAACCATGCCGCTGCCGCGGAGGAGCTTGATCACGGCGTCCACGAGGAAAGTCTCCTGGAACTTGATCGCATCGTCGGGGCTGATCTTTTCGAGGAGTACCTTGGGGAGCCCACTGTTGCTCGGCGAAAGGCGACTGACTGCGACTTCGTACTGGCCTTCGTTAAATGCACTCCAGACACTGTGTCCCCACACGACGCCAATCGTGATCATCGGTAAAGAAACCATTACCGTTGCCTTTTCCAGGGCGTCCATGATCTCAGAAGTGTCCACGACCTTCCTGGTCAAGGCTGTCGCGAGGGCCAAACAGACGGCCAGCTTGTCGTGGACGATGCGCATGTCCTCGTAGAGGTCCATGCCCGTCATGTCCACGCCGGCCATGGTGCTGGTGAAACGGCCTGCCACGACGTACACGTCCACGAACTTGGGGACCATGGCTTTCTTCAGCCCCTCCAGCGAGGTCTTCATGCGCTTCGGTCCGATCAACTCCTGCTGTCGCTGGAGGTGAGGGGCATAGATAGGGGGGGTAGGCATAGGGCATAGACATAGGGGGGCGCATCGACCAGGAATCGGCGGTACATTGTCGATTCGATAGATCGGCTATAGGCCCCCAGTAGTGAATCCGCGCCTTCCCGCGCGGGCTGGGGCTGTAGGCTATCGGCTATCGGGTCCCATTTGGCGATCAATGGACGATTCAGGGTCGGTGCATCCCCCTTATGCCGCATATGCCTATCCCCCCCCATCGGTGCCCCCGAGGAGGTCGGGGGCGGGGGAGGTCGAGTCAAAGGAGGGAGGACGACGACGACTGTGTTGTGTCCTCGTTATCCACTGCCAGGTACCCGTTCAGTTCCTGCTTCGCCGCCAGGAGCGCCCGCTCCCCAGCGAGCAAGATCTTCAGGGTCTTCTGGTCTAGCGAACCCGTCGGGCCGGCGCCGCCGCTGGACAAGCCTCTGCCTCCGCCTCCGCCGCCTCCGTCGCCGCCCCCACCACTGGGCCCACCTCGGCCTCCAGCGCCGCCCCCGGGCCCGCGACGCCCTCCGCCGCCGGCGGCGCTGGCTTTGCCAGCGGCGATGGGCAAACAACAATCATCGAATACCCAATCGAGGTCGTCGTCGTCGTCGTGCGAGCCGGCGGTCAGCGCCGAGTCCTTCATCGCCAGGAAGATCGGGGCATCCTTATCTTTCTGCGTGAGCTTGACGGCCATCTTACCCACTAGCATGTCGTAGAGCTCCTTGATTTGTTCATGGCCCCTGACTGCCCCATCAGAGTCGAGCTTCTTATTGTACTCGACACCCTGGGAATGCTTCTCCTTGAGCTTCCAGGTATTGAGGGGCCTGCCATGTTCCTTGCCCAGGATCACGCCCCTCATCTTCTTGTTGTTGATCGTCTTGGTCACGATGGCCTTCTTGTCGGGCTTGGTGCCCTTCTCCCTCAGGTACACCCACTCGGGCCAGAAGATGCCCAGGTTCTCCTCCGCGTCCAGCGAATGGGAGTCCTTCATGACGACCTCTGTCTTGAAGCCACCTGGTATGTCCGCGGAGAGCTTCACGATTGCCAGCTTCGGGTTGCGGTGCCTGTCCAGCCACAGAAACCAGAGCAACATGTACTTCTCGTAGAACTCAGGCTCCTGAGGCTCGCCATTCACGAACTTGCACCCATTCACCATGCGGTCGCGGTCGACGCCTTGCATAGCCCAATTCTGCATGTTGCGGCACACCAGGCACCCGAGCGCACCCTTGCGGCCGACCTCCAAGAACCTGGTGGCTCGGAAGGGGAGGGGGGCCGAGCCGACGACGAGAACGACGCGGCCTTCTCCTGGGCCCCTGGGGCCTGAACGCCTCAGCGTTCCGAGCCGCGCCCAGCCGAGGGCCCCCCCGAGGGCCGAGAGGGCAACCGCGACGACGTCGAGGACGAAGACGACGGCGGCGACAACGGCACCACGACGCGACGACGAAGACAACGACGACAGTTGCGGTGTTGTTGTTGTTGGTGGTACTGTTGTTGCTGCTGCTGTTGTTGTTGGTGTTGTTGTTGTTTATTGTTGTTGTTGTTGTTGTTGTTGTTCTTTTTGTTGGTGTCGTTGTCGTTGTTGTTGTTGTTGTTGCTGTTGATGTTGTTGTTGTTTGTCGTTGAGTCATCCCCTCAGGGAACGGATTTTTCCGATTCTGCATCGGGTTGGGCGTCTTGCGGTACTCGCAATGGCAGAAGGCACAGTCGCCCTCAGGCGGCTCCGGAAACTCGGGCGTGGCAATCGGCAGAGCCCACTCAGCCTTCTCCCTCAAGTAGGCAGCCAACCTGTCCTTGAGATTGGCCACGAAGTCCGGCGCCAAGACCATCGCCATGTTATTATGCCCTCCGCCCACCTGGGTCGCGATGTCGTCGCAGCCAATCCCATCGGCTTCAAGCTGATCCCCCAGCAGCTCAGTGAGACGACACCCCCCAGATCGGACGGATTGTCCGACGCTCCTGAGACTATGCGGCATGGACCTCGCGACCAGGCGGCAATCGGCCCGAGGCGGTGCAGGGTGTGGGGGGGGCAAGTTCGTTCAAGTCGGGCTAAGATGTGCAGCCTAAATCGGCTGCGGGCGAGAACGGGGCCAGTTGGGGAGGGGAAGCGCAGGAATGGCAGGGCGGGGCTGTCATCGCCCACTTTCCGCGAAGGATTTCAGCTAGCTAGGTCAGGAGCAAATTACCCCCCGTGGCCGCGGCGATCGGCGGATCAAACTCGGCCCCTGGACCCCGTGGCCCAAGTGCGCTAGCGTCCCGAGCCGCGCCTAGCCGCGGCGACGAGCGGAGTCTTCCGCTCGAGCAAGGACCCGCGCCCCCCGAACGAAATCGGATGGTGCAACGTGGCAGGGAGGAGGGGGATAGGATAGGGGAGGGGAGATGGGCCGGCCCAGAATGGGCGAGGGAGAGATTTAGTGGGAAGGCGGAGGACGAGGATGATTCAGGCACATATCCAATTTAGGTCCCTGCCCGCGCTGCCCTGTGACGCAGGCGCCCAATCCCTCGAGCGCTGGGTCCCTCGCTGCCAGGCAGCGGTCTAGAAGCGGGCGACGCGGGGGAAGCGCCCGCGGCGCCCCGCGGGTGATCAGCGGCGGGAACTAGCTGGCCCCCTGAGGGCCAAAATCCATTGCAATTGGGGCGTGGCCGAGACTCGAAACCGCACTGATCAGGGAAAACAAAACCACTCAAACACATGTGAAGGGAAAATTCACGACCGAAACGTCGGGGGTTTCGGCCTCGCCTGCCCAACCTGGTCCAGCCTGGGGGGGTTCCAAAAGGTGTTTTCGGTGAGGGGGTTTTCAGGGGCGGCCATGCGCCTCGGAACCTCGTTCGAACAAATGGGTGCGAAGCCCCTGGGGGGGCCATCCTGGAAAACCGCCCCCCAACAAAAAGATCATTTGGAACCCGCGGGCAACAGCTCGCGCCACCGCCGCTCCAGGGGGCTGCAGCGGGAACGACGGCGCAAAAAAAAACAAAAGCGCTCTAGACGGCCTGCCCCATGTCCTGCCAGGGCGCGACCTGGTCGCCAGCGTGCCAGGGAGCTACCACAGGTCGTCGAGGTCGTCGTCCTTGCTCTGCAGCAAGGGGCTCTGAAGCGTGACAGCGCCAGACTGATCTGGCACGAACCTCACGCCACGATGCCGAAGGTATGCGACGCCAAGTGTGGTCATGGAAGCGATCATCGTTGCGGCGGCGACGCCGCTGTGGAAGGCGTCCCCGGCCAACTTGGTGAGCGCGTCGGAACTGTGAGCCGCGGCCTTCGCGTGGCGCTCCTGGTAGTGAATGCCATGGAAGGCGAGGGCCTCAATGCCATGCATGAAACGCGCCCGGTCGCTGATCCACACCTCCTGTCGGGGCGTCGCACATGCCAGGATGCTGTCGCCAGACGACGTACACTCCTTCGCTCGACCAAGGCTCTGGGAAAGATCGATGAGCCTGCAATCAGTGGTGACGGGGAACTGGCTGGGGCCCGCTGCCAGGAGCAAGACATCCAGCTGCCGCTTGACCATCGCGCGATAGCCTGGAAACTGGGCAGCTGCCTCCAGCTGATCTTGAGTCAACGTCGACGCGTGGATCTTGGCCGCAAACGCGTCGGCATGCTTCCGTCTCCACTTCGACGACCTAGAGGCCTCGACGTCGTCATCTGCGGCCGTCTCCCATGGAAATGGTCGATCGCTGGCCTTGGAGATCATGTCCGTGACGAGGTCGTGGGAATCTGGAAGTAGGAGCACGTGTCCAGGCACCATGCTGTGATCACCGAAGCGGCGCAGCAAGTTGCCGATCCAGTTGTAGGCCTCGCGCTCGGTCAGGCCGATGTCCGCCATCAGTGTCGAGCGAAACCCTGGTATCCAGAAGCGGGCCCTGCTCTGTGGGGAACCGTACAAGCGAGGGTCCTGGAGCGTGGCGACGCAGAAGTACCCAGCCTGCTTCATGTCACACAAGACCTGGGCCAAGTTGGACTCGTGGATCGTCAACTTGTGCTTGTTGCCCTCAGTGTCCTTGACGACCGGCGGGTTGCCCAGCCCCTTGACGTTCTCGAGCAAGACCATGTTGCACGGCTTGCGGTGCGCATTAGGGCCGCCAGCCCCTGGTTCAGCCCGCTGCTTCAAGATGTCGTAGATGCCCCCGAAAGCCGATCCCGTCGCCGCCCCCCTCTTTTTGACCACGTCACAGTACTGCTGCATGTACATGTTCATGAAAGAGGCTTGTGTGCAGGGGAAGCCGGCAATCAAAGTGTCGAAGTCTGGAACTTTAGCATCAGGGACGTTGTGATCACCAGCGGCGCAGTTCGGAACATCGCCTGAGGACAAGTCACACACGTCAGAGAACAGCACGGGCACGTCGAACATTGTCCGAATGAATGCGCGAGTGTCCTTGTTCTTCTCGCAGCTGAAGACGTGGTCGACTGACATTTGGCCGCCGCTCTGGAGCCCCGCGGCTTCGTGGGCGCCGATCACGCCGGCGTCCTTGAGATGCTGGATGGACGGGCCAAGCACGTCGCAGCACACGCGCGTGATCTGCTTGGCGACCAGCACAGCGACGTCCGATCCCGAACACGCCGTGCCTAGCTTCAACGGGCCATTCAAGCACCAGAACATCACAAGCGACATTCTCTCGCACTCAGAGAGGCGCTCGATGATGTCGCGAATGAGCTGGTCCAGGTGCGCGTCTGGCTGCTGGAGCCTCGGATGGGCGGCGACAGTGCTGTAGTAGGGTGGTCGCAGCAGATCGTGCACTGGGAAGTCGCGCAGCGGCGATGGGACTGACGGCGGAAGCCCAGCCAACTTCAGCGTGGCCTGAGAGTCAGCCTCCTCGTCCTCAACCTCCTCCTCGGCCTCCTCCGCGGCCTCCTCGTCGGCGTCGTCGGCGTCCTCCGCGGCCTCGTCGTCGCCGAACAGCTCGCTCGCCAACTTCGCATCCGCTGGGGTCAGGCCGTCGTCGTCCGCTGCGGCCGGGCGCTTGCGGGCGGCGCCCCGCCGCACGGCTGGCCTCCGGCGAACTGGCGGCTCAGCGGGTGGATCATGCACCTCGACGGCCGCGCTGGGGGGCGCGCCGTCCTCGGGGTCCTCTGGGAAAACGAACGCCTCCGCCCGTCAAAAGAGGGGGAGGCCCCCAGTGCAACCGAAGCAATCCTCCAAGAGGGGGGAGGGAGGGAGGGAGAGGAGGAGGGAGGAGGGAGGATGGAGGGGGAGGAGGGAGGAGGGGGATGAGGGGAGGGGAGGACGGAGGAGGGAGGAGGGAGGAGGGAGGAGGGAGGAGGGAGAGGAGGAGGAGGAGGAGGAGGAGGAGGAGGAGGGGAGGAGGAGGAGGAGGAGGGGGAAGGAGGAGGGGAGGAGGAGGGAGGAGGAGGAGGAGGAGGAGGAGGAGGAGGAGGAGGAACCCCAGGTGGCCCCGAGAGCGATGGTCAGATGTGGCACGGGCGCCACGTCTGGCCCGCGTCGGGCCTACTGCGGGCGGTGGGGGGGGGCAGGGGCTACAAGCGCCCGTGGGGCATCTGGGCTGGGAGTGAAGTGGGGCGAACGTGAAACGTACCAGACAGGCCGAGCTGCCGCGTGGTCCTCCTCCTCATCCTCATCCTCCTCCTCCTCGTCATCCTCTTTCTCCTCCTCCGCCTCCTCCTCCTCCTCATCCTCCTCATCTTCCTCCTCCTCCTCCTCCTCCTCCTCCTCCTCCTCCCCCTCCTCCTCCTCCTCCTCATCCTCATCCTCATCCTCCTCCTCCCTCGTCCAGGGCCATCTTGGAACGTCTGGAAATTCCCGTGGACATCCAGAGCACGTTCTGTTTCGCGGAAATCATGGGCCAGACCTCGAACACCAATCCCGGCCCTGGGGGCGCATGCCAGAAGCTCCAGGAAGGCCTGCGTTAGGGCCCCGCATGTCCGACGACGTCGCAGAATCAGCCATCCGCGGGGAGCGCCGGAGCGCGGCGTCATCATCATACCCAGGCGGCGACGCTTTCTGCGCGGCGGCCTGCTCCTCCTCCCGGGACTCCTCGCACCCTGTCGCCGCTGGCCTCCGCTGGCGCGGGCGGCCGCCGCCGCGACCTGAAGCCTTGGCCGTGGCCTGGGCCTTGGTCGTGGTGCCCTTTGCCCTGGCACGCTTGGGGGGCATTGTGGCGGCTGGCTGGGGGGGCGGGAAGGTTTCGCGCCGGGTAGAGATCAGAGCCTCAGCGCTAGGTCACGGGCCCCCGGTGCGAATGCCCCCTGGAGCGACTGGTCTCGATCGAATACGCCACCCGCCCTCCACCCGCACAGTCCTTCCTCGTCCCCGCCGCCCCCCCCCAAACGCGCCTCCCCCTCCATCCGCCATCCATCCACACATCGCCCCTCCAGCTCTCAGTCAATCGAGCGTCAGTCGGCCGTCGGTCGGCCGCCAACCGAGTGGAATTCGAGCGTCGGTCGACCGCCAGTTGGCTGTCACTGGGGGGTCAGTCGGATGTCAATCGGTTGTAAGTCGGCTGACAGTGGGTTGTCACTCGGTTGTCAGTCGGTTGTCAGTTGGTTGTCAGTCAGTTGTCAAGGGGTTGTCAATCGGTTGGCAATCGGGTGTCAGTCGGTTGTCGGTCGGTTGTCAGTGGGTCCCCTGGGGGTTGTCAGTGGCCCTCCTAGGGGTTGGTCCATGGGGGTTGCCAGCGCCCCCCTGGAGGTTGTCAGTGGCCCCCCTGGGATCCCTGGGGGGTTGTCAGTGTCCCCCCCTGGGGTTGTCAGTGGCCCCCCTGGGGGTTGTCAGTCCCTGGCCCCCCTGGGGGTTGTCAGTGGCCCCCCGTTGGGGGTTGTCAGGGCCCCCTGGGGGTTGTCGGCCCCCCTGGGGGTTGTCAGCGGCCCCCCTGG